AAACCTAACGCTAAACCTAACGCTAAACCTAACGCTAAACCTAACCCTAGCCCTAAACCTAACCCTAAACCTAACCCTAAAACAAACCCCTAAACCTAATCCTAACTCTTACCTTAATTGAAGTCGGCTTTCTGCTGCGGCGCCGTTTTAAAGCGCCCTTCTGTTGCTGTGCTGTTGTCGCGGCGGTGATGACGCGCGGTGATGACGTCGCGGCTTTAGTGCCGCGATTTTATCACTGCGATTTTGACGAGCGCGGTTTTGTCGTGCCACGGGAGTTGACAACAGGGAGGGGGAGCCAAACACATCATTAGTCTTGAGTCCATTCGTGCCCTCAGGAAATCTAAGTCCACCCCAGCTTGACTCTCATCTACCGCCAAGGGAGAATTAGTAAGTCAGATTCTTGTAGAGAACTTAAGCTCGCAATACCTCTTCATATTCATATTCGAACTGCCTGGATTTTTGGATTTTTCCCTGGGGCTTGGCGGTTGTTAAGTGAATCTGGCTTCTCTCTTGACTTGGCACGTCAGAAGGTCGCAAAAGGGGATCACATGGAAACCCCCCCTCCCGGCACACCCCAACTGTCGTAAATACGAACCAGTTGCCAAGCGTCCAAATTTCGATCACGTGACCACGAAGGATGCCGCAACAGTGGAAAGTGTGCGAAAAGCGATCCTAAGTCACCTTTTTTTCTGTGCCTTTGTAATTTCAAACGGTCACTAAACGAACTGTCGTAAGTCGAGGACCACACTTATTTAGCCAAAGGGGCAATTATGATCAAAGCATTAGGCTGGGCTGCATCTTCCAGGACATGGATATTTTTGTTTACTTATTTTTATACCTCTGCTACACTCCGATACACATGTCTCTCCTGTTTTATATTAACGGAAGAGATACCTCGAGGGAATTCTGGGGATTATTCTGAAATATTTTTACTCAAATATCCAGCAGGCTAGATTGACTGCAGATGGAGGCCTTCTACTGCACCTTCACCAAGAATTCCCATGCAGGGGAAATAAACAGTTTTGAGTGGATGCCTGCCAATCTCCCTCTCGACTTCATGAGGTTTCATTCAAATTAAGGTCTCCGCGTTGCAGAGTTCATTCGGTTTAACCATCATTTCCTGTCTGAGGGGGGGGGGGAAGCTTTTAAATGTTATTTATTTAGCGTAGGGCAAGAACTTTTCAAGTTTACTTCGATGGCCCCAGCTTTTCTTCCCAAGACCACCAGTGCGAAAGGAGGGCAGGATTCGAACCTTGAATCCCTTCTTCCAATTCTTTGTGGCGGGAAAAAAAACCCTGTTTATTCTTTATACTTCGCCCCTCGGCAATGCTTCCAAAGCAGCTGAGGAAAGGAAAAAAGAAAGGACTGAAATTGTCCAAAAATGACACCACAGAGGACCCTGTTTCACTGAAAAATAAGCCCGCCCTGGATAATAAGCCCTATCGGGCTTTGAAGCGCATGCACTAAAATAAGCCCTCCCCAAAAAATAAGCCCTCCCGGGTGACAGTGAGTTCTAGTCTTGCCTTAGGAAAGCGAGTTCGATAATGTTGAGCCAATCCCCAGGAGATTGTGAGTTCTAGCTCTGTGTTAGGAAAGCTGACTGGGTGACGTTGAGCCAATCACCAGGTGATAGTGAGTTCTAGTCTCGCCTTAGGAAAGCAAGTTAGATAATGTTGAGCCAATCCCCAGGAGATTGTGAGTTCTAGTTCTGTATTAGGAAAGCTGACTGGGTGACGTTGAGCCAATCACCAGGTGACGGTGATTTCTAGTGCCTCCCTCTCTCTCTCGGTGCAAACCCACCCCGCAGGGTTGTTGTTGTGGGGAAAATGTGGAAAATCTTTTAGGTATGCATGTCGCCTTGAGTTATTGATAAACAGATAGCTGGGATATAAATAAATAAAAGCGTTACTCTCTTTTTCCCCTGTTTTTTTTCTGCATATCTTAAGGATCACTCAGAGATATAAATTGGACTGGAGAAAAATTGATTGATTATATTCAAAATAAATACGGGACTAAGAAATTTCAGATAGCTTATGATTAAAGAAATTAGGAATGATATAAACTGTTTAGAGTTAGCCTAGCAAGGAGGAGTTAAAGCCCAAGTGAAAGATGTTATTAACTTTTTTTACTTTTTTTAACCTTATTTAGGCGTGTTTTTGTTAAAGATTTATACCTTGTATATAATCAATCAATTTTTCTCCAGTCCAATTTATATCTCTGAGTGATCCTTAAGATATGCAGAAAAAAAACAGGGGAAAAAGAGAGTAACGCTTTTATTTATTTATATCCCAGCGATCTGTTTATCAATAACTCA